AATAAAGTAGGTCAACAGTGACCTCTATTTATTCATATCCTTTATTGTTGTACGCTTCGTAGATATATTAGGGGTCCAAGGGGGCAACGTCCTTTTAACAAATTTTGATTGTAAGGATATTTTTAAAATTCAAATTATTAAATAAAATGATAAATTCTACTTACTATTTGTAGGGGCAATTGCCTAAATATTATAATATTTAAAAATTTTTAGCGGGGGTGGGGGGAACTTATAATTAACTGTTAGTTTTACCTCGAATTTTGCTCAACCCTTCACTATAATAATGTAGGTCAATAGAGACCTCTATTTATTCATATCCTTGATGGTTGTACGCTTCGTAGATATATTGGGGGTCCAAGGGTTAGCGCCCTGGTAACAAATTTTGGTTGTAAGAATATTTTTAGAATTTAAATTAATAAATAGAATTATGAGAAGTATTTACTATTTGCTAGGGGCAATTGCCTAAAAATTATAATATTTTTAAATTTTTAGGAAGGAAATTGCCTAAAAACTCTTTTAATAAAGACTAAATATTAGATAAATGTGGACAAATTACCTAAAGAATCATTAAATAATTTTTTTTTAGGGGTTGGGCAATTGTCCTCTGACCTTAAGGGGGTTCCACCCCTAGATAAGAGGGAAAGTGGCTTACTAAATAATCTTAACAAACGTTTTGCATTACAACCAAATTTTTTCTATTTCAGATTCACTAATTCAGCAACATATTATTTTTCATTACAACCAAGAGCCAACCATAAATAAACTAAACTTAACAAATTTATAAAGTGTAAAACTGTAAACTAACAGTCTAAAATCTAATCTAAAAAAATTTGTGTTATAGCCAACCATGAATCAAAATTATCAAATAGCAACATCCTTACATGTTATAGCCTATAGTTTTGAAAATATGAATTACAGTTAAAGTTCAACCCAATAGCTAATAGCCATATAGGAATCAATTTACAATTCATAAATTACAAATATTTGAATTTACTACTAGAGAATAATATGCCTTGAAGTAGAATTAACTGTGAAAAGAAATGGACAAATAGATAGAATTCTAAATCATGGATAGTAAGAAGCTTAAACAAATAGCTCAGATTAACCCCTCCAACTCATTCAACAACTAATTAAATGTGATTGAATAACAAATATTTTGTATTACCATCAAAGGTGACAGTTTGTATTAAGCTTAGTTTAGTATCTAAGCTTGTTTTAATTAGATAGTATCTAGTTGGTCTAACATAATACAAATGCCACCAAGTTGCAATAGTATTTTCCTCAAGGGGCTCTCACTTTCAGTTTAGCATGTTTATTAGCATTTCTTAAGCTTTTATTACTTAAATTTAACAAACATAGATATAAGTTCAGATTCAGTAACAACCAACCAGGAAAATAACAGCCATAAGAGGCTACATGTAATATCCAATAGATAAATTTATTAAAAGCCAATCATTCATCCTGTAAGCAATTAAATAGTACAAATTTTTAAAATAGTAGCTATTAGAGTCCACAACCAACCCGCTAAACAGACCACCCAAAAAATAACATCCATATGAGTATACATCTAAGTTCTAACATCCCGCAGTTATAAATTCAGCAACAACCAATCAAGAATAAAGTAAAACAAATATAACTTCAACAGTAGCTAACAAGTTCAGCAAAGGCACTGGCCAAAACCTAACAGCCAAGCATTTGTAAAACCCAACAAGAAATAATATAACAACAATAACAGGCTAGAACATGCATATATAAATTAAAAATAGTCAACCAGGAAAATATATAAAAATTAAGTAGCCTTAAGCCCTTAAGCAATAAAAAAATATTCCAACCTTGAATTCAACAAACAACATATCCTTTTTATATTTTTAACCATAATTAAAGAAGGGGGGTGGGGGGGGGGGTAACATCCTACAAGTAATGAACTACTGATTTAAGCACTCCTTTTAATAAGAAATTTCATTCAGTGTTGCGATATGACAACATCCAACACCCAACAACCAATAATCAAATTCATTTCATCAACAACAATAGTCAACCAGGCTAGCAAAATCACAAGAGGATAAAAATTTATCTAATGGTTGAATTTTCACCAAGCTCTCTTTTGAGTTGGTTTGCATTTAAAATTAGGATATCTTCAGTCACATATTCAAGTTCAAGGTCATTCATTACTACAATAAATAAATTTGAGCCCTTAAACATTTTACAATTTACAGTGCTAAAAAGAATAATTATTGAAAGAGTTCAATCAGTTAAATGATATTGCACAATGTTCTCCATACAACAAATCCTTCACACAAACCATGGCCTCAACAATATCATGTTTAAGTGCACTTCGATACTGATATAGGATTCTATCACTATTGCTGAAGGAACTTTTAGAGGTTATTGTTGTTATAGGAATGTACAACTCTAGATATAAAAAAGCCATTCGATAAGACATATCACTATCAAGCATTATGAAAGTAGAGTTAAATCTTATCGAAACATCTTATTTTATACCACTTTTTGAATCTAGACAACTATGTTTAACATAATTAAGAAATTTATGTTTACTTGCTAGAGATCCCTTCACATGCCTCTCTAATTTTTTAGATTGAACCATCAATCTCCTTCAATCCCTCATGAACTATAAGATTAACAATATGTCCATTACATTAAGCATGAAAAAATACACCTTCACATAGCAGACCACCACATTAATTCAGTTAATTTCTCAAGAAATCTATCAAAATATTATTTACAAAGGCATTGTCCAAAGTGATGTAGAAGAGCGTAGACTCTATTTTCAAATCAGGTAAAAGAGATTGTAACTTCTCAAATAGTGCTATACCATCATGAGGGGGTGACATGAAAGCAAAACTTATGATCATTTTATGTAGGTGCTAAATATAATCAATAAAATACACAGTTAAGCAAATAAACCTGTTCGTGTTTATAGATGTCCATAGATATGATGTTAAACAAACTCTTCTAGTGCAATTATATGACTGTGACCGTATATGCAATTTTTCTTTAGTTAATAATTTCTTACAATTATTCCATACACTATTTCTTGAAAATAGTTCTAAGTCCCGATGAAGATACGACAAAAGTGCTCGAACAATAACCCATTCAAAACATTAGAGGGGCCAATTATGCATAATGATATAGGCAGTAAATAAATCACAAAATTCTTTCGAGTCAAACTTACAATTAGCCATAGAAATAAATGATATAGAGTTGGTATGCAATATGAGCCAGCCTATATCACGCATCTCTTCTCTTGCAATTTTGCAATTGGTGCCTTAAATTAATAGTGTAATTTTTGTTATCACATAGATATTGTGCACCACATTTCTTATATTTATACATTTGTTTACCATCTTTAACATTAGACAATATCCCAAAATGACCCCAAACTATTGAAGTCATCCATATACACTTCTTAACAATTTTTGAACCATCATTACATGCATCATTAAATGGCTCTACCACATTATCACCACTACACACTTATTCGTTATCATTAGCAAAATTCTCAGGAATGATGTTTGAATCCTCCATCTAGCCAGCCGATTAAATCACTTTTTAAAATGCAAAATGTCAAATATAAAAGACAATTTCTTAAATGTCAAACTAGTACACAAGAATGTAAAACATCAAAGCAAACAATTCTGATTTCAGATGCAATAGGCACCAGCAAAGTGTAAACACAGTGCAACAGGAATCCGAATTAGTGCAAAGTGCAAAGTGCAAAAGGATAAAAAAGAAATATAACAACATTACAATAGGTTTCAGAAATACAATCACCCATTACCCACCAACCCCAAGCCACTAAGGCAGATGTGTAGCATGTTTGAAATATAATGATCAAGTTTCCGTAAGAAGCCAATAAAGATTAATGATTATAAAAGTAACTGAATACTAGGAGAATGCATATCAATGTCCCCCATGGTCCCACCTTAACTAAATATTCAAAATATAAGCAATTAAGAACAATTGCGATGCATCTACTCAACTTATAAAACCTGAATAGTAAAAAAAGAATACACAAGCACATGTATAATCATATAAAGGAAACAACTAACAAGTCAACAATAAGGAACACAATATTTTAAATAGCCCAAAAAATACAAAGCCGTAAGGAATCAAAAGGAAAATTAGGAAAAAATAATGCCCTAACGGCATACACTAACTGCTTCAATTCAAAAACCAAAACTGACAAGTCCAACAAAAGAATTCTTTTGGAAGGAAAAAAGCGTGACAAGATCATTCAACAGAGCAACAACCAACAACAAATGAAAACAGAAAAACCATAAATGACAAAACTAAAAAAAAACCTAGTCATGACTTACGAACGCAGCAACGAACAAGTAAAAGGAAGTGAGGAACTAAGGTCCGAGGATTGCTCTGGAATGGAGGTCGATGAGACTAGAGAGTGTAGAGGAAATCCTAAACAGATGAAACTAGAGAGGAGAGATAAAGAGGTAAGACTTGAGAGCAAAGAGACGATACATGTATAAATGAATAGCGATCGTAATACGCACAGAAATGAATAAAGCCTAAATGTAAATCAAACAGCTCATGTCTAAACTGCGTAGCTCCACTAGTCAATCTAGGTCGCAATTGAGCTTTCTGGTTGACCCGAACTTGACTCGAAATTTGAAACGGGTTAAAATTGGGAACCCGAACCTGGCCTTTTTTTCTAATAGTCGAATCCTAACAAAAAAAATTTCGGATAGGATTTAAATTAGATTTTTGTATGGTGTTTATATATTTATGACACTCCTAAAGAAAGAAAAATTATTCTGTGCGGAGTCCAGACAAAAAGAATCATTCAAGATTAGAAATATACACATATGTGTATACTCATATATTTCAACAATTAAAAAGTTATAATTGTAACTATGTGAAAATAAAAAATATATTCCAACACTTTTTTTTTTGTCCGAATACTGCACATGCATAATAATTTCTTTATTATCCTAATGAAAACGGCTGTTTCTTTTCTCAAACACTCAAGCCAGCTCCATCTTTACCCGAACCTCTAAAAAACAACTCTTGAGCCATAGTAGACTAAAAAAAAATGCTCCACAGACTCAGATACTCCTCTCTCCGACGAACGACCGCTCTCCGCACTCTCCCTTTCCGTTCCTTCTCCTCCAGTTCTAAATCCAAAGAAGAACTGAGCCCAAAACAACATCAACAGGAAGAAGATGCCATCTTTCACATCATCAACTCCTCCTCCCTCAGCTCCATGATCACCTCCCTCAAATCCCTCTCCATTCCGCTCTCCAACTCCATCGTCGACTGCGTCCTCAAGCGCGTCCGCTTCAGCCATGGAAACCCCCTTAAAGCCCTAGATTTTTTCAAGTTCACCGCCAAACAACACTCTTTCTCCCACACCCCTTTCTCTTATGATACCATGCTTTATATCCTCGGCCGCGGCCGTAGGTTTCCCGAGATGTGGAACCTCCTTCGCGAAATGAAGCAGCAAGATCGGAATTTGATCACCACAAGAACTATTCAGATCGTCTTAGGCCGAATCGCAAAGGTCTGCTCGGTACGTCAGACCGTCGAGAGCTTCCGTAAGTTCCGGCGACTGGCCCCAGAATTCAACACCGATTGCTTCAACGCGTTGCTGAGAACTCTGTGCCAGGAGAAGAGTATGAGCGATGCCAGAAACGTTTACCATAGCTTGAAGCATGAGTTCAGGCCTAATCTCCAGAGTTTCAACATACTTTTATCAGGTTGGAAGTCATCGGAAGAGGCCGAAGGGTTTTTTAAAGAGATGGCTGAGCTTGGAGTAAACCCGGATTTGGTTTCCTACAACTGTTTGATCGACGTATACTGCAAGAACAGAGAGCTGGATAAGGCTTACAAGGTGTTCGATCAAATACGTGAAAAGGATTTCTCACCTGATGTGTTCACCTACACTAGCATAATTGGTGGCTTAGGACTTATCGGCCAGCCAGACAAGGCCAAGGAGGTGTTAAAGGACATGAGAGAGATGGGATGTCACCCCGATGCCGCCGCCTACAATGCGGTGATAAGGAATTACTGCATTGCGAAGAGGCTCGGCAATGCTTTCGCGTTGATGGAGGAGATGGAGAGTAGAGGACTGAAACCAAATCCAACAAGCTATAACCTCTTCTTTCGATGCTTCTACTGGGCGAATGAATTAGAGAGTTCATGGCAACTATACAAGAGGATGAGGACAGAGGGGTGTTTGCCGAACACACAGTCCTGTATGTTTCTTGTCAGAATGTGCAGAAGACAAGAGAATGTTGGGCTGGCACTGGAGCTCTGGAATGATATGGTGAAGAATGGATATGGATCTTTACCGTTGGTTTCAGATGTTTTATTTGATTTGTTGTGTGATTTAGGGAAGTTGGATGAAGCTGAGAGGTGTTTTATTGAAATGGTTGAGATGGGGCAGAAGCCAAGCAGGGTGTCATTTAGAAGGATTAAAGTTCTTATGGAGCTGGCTAAGAGGCAAGACTGTATCAAGAATTTGGAGGAGAAGATGGGAGGTTTTGGAACTATGAGGGAAGCTGATGAGAGACTAGAGAAGTCATTTGAAATGCCTTATTCTGAGTTTCTTAACCTATGATGGTTGTCAAGGAAGGAAACTATTGAATGGGGCTAGTAAATCCCGGCAATCTATTTGCCACCGCAATGAATCAAGTAGAAGATGATGATGTGGAGATCATGGAGATAAAGATGATCTATATGGTCGATCTCTGCAAGAGCACAGCATTCTGAGGGCCATTTGCCCTCCAAGTAGAAAACTTTTTCCTGAGCAAGTTGAAGAGCAAGCTCACCTTGCTTCGCATGAACTAATGGAAGAAGAAAATGCTGGCGCTTCCAAGATAAACAACAACCAATCTGTCTTCTTGGTAAATCTCAAATTTTGTGATTTGTCTAGATATTCAAAATCAAAACTTCATGACAGTTTATTTTGTGATGGTGTAATGCATGAAAAATTTGGGCGTCATTTGTGATGGCCTAAGTCTATATATTTCTCTCCTTAGGAATTGTATAAATTCCTAATAATTATGGGCATCATTTGTATACATAAATACACATGTGATGAAGAAGCAGTCTAAGCTTTCTAGCCAATTCCTTTTTTATGGTACAAGCAAAAAAGATTCAAATCATTTTTCTAACTTCTATTACATTCTCTCTTTCATTCTTATTCTCCCCGTCATATTTGTTTTTCTTTTCTATTTTCATTATGAAGAGTTGATAATCACGAATTATTAAATTAGACTAAAGGAGAATTTTGAGGGCTACAAACCTCGTACCATTTGAATGAAAGAAACTACTTAAAGTGGTCTCAAATTTGACATCCTTTCTCTAAGGAAAAATAATCAGCATCATATTGACCATCCTTTGTATGTGAAAGACATGAACATTACACTTTGGGATGAAATAGATTTCATAATCACGTAATGATTATGAACGCCATGATGCTTGAAATTAATGGATCATATATATTTCTATCTATCATAAAAGATATTTGAGAAATTGCCAAACAAAGTCACTAAAAAGTTAAAGATGTAACTCTCATATATAATATCAAAATGAAGTACTAACCAAGCAAGGTAATATCTCTATAATGAATATGTCAATAGATTGAAGGTCTATTGGGAAGATGAAGCTCTCAATAACCAAGCAATGTAATAACTCTATAATCAAATATTTTAATGAATTGAAGGTTTATTGGCTAGAATTAGATTACTATCAAGATCTCAATATAAAGTGTAGTGATGATATTGTGCTTCTCAAGTAATTTTTAGAAAGAGAAAAGATATTAAAATTGCTTATAACAAATACTAATGAATTTAACTAAGTTCTTATTTAAATCTTGAGTAGAGAAAACAACTATACTTTGAATGAAAACAAGCCATCTAAAGTGGTTTTACATTGTGAAAATATTTCTAAAATAAAAGATATTTTTTTAATCTTATTAATCCTCCTCCATATTTAAAAGGCCCAAACTTTGTGTAATGCCCTAAGTTCTAATGAAAGGATTTAAACACTAAACCTATAAGTATAGCTGAACCTCAACATGATTAATCAATGCCACTATAAAATTCAAATAATAAAATAATTCAACTATTTCATTTCATCAAAATATACACAATAACCCAATTTATAAGTCGTTCATACATCAAATAATTTAAAACTAGATTACAAAATACTACTCGAATAACCTAGATCAAGAAGAACCTGCCTCTACCCCCTTTTTTCAACTGTACTGGGCATTTTCCTTTCCTTGAAATATTAGAAAGATTGATAACATGAGCATAACAAGCTCAATAGACTTCTTTTGATAACTCATCATAGATATTGATATACAAATTAAAAATTAAATAGAAGTTTAATTTAAAATACAATAACTTTTAAGGAAGGACTAAAGTATTATTATAACATAATTCTTTTAAGGTTTCAACATGTACTTGATTTCAAAGTCATTACTTATACCTTCTCAATTATCTTCATAGAAATTTTTAGATACATCACAGAGCACTTGCCATTAGAGGTTCACTTGCACTGAACTTTTATATTTCATCAATTCATATAAGGTTTCAAGAAATATTAATATTTAGTTTACAATATTAGTTATACTTGACTCGTTGAATTATTAAATTATGCAATGTATGACTATAATGCACATATCTTGATGTCTGCTTATAACTCCACTTTCACTTATGCTTCACTTTGACCTCCCACACCCGCATATAGCAAGTGGGGCCAAAATCAGAGCATAATAGTACAACATAACCTCCCACACCGGCTTTCAGCAAGTGAGGCTAGAATCACTCTCACATCCAAACAATGTAAACACAACTATAATAAAATATATAGAGCAATTATCACATATTAGTGAGTGCACTTTTTATATATCAGAACATCTCCAATAGTATGTTATGAGTAATGCAATTATGAATACGTTAATATCTCATTTATAATTTCAATGAAGTGCTTAGATGATGCATGAAGTATATAAGCTCCGAAAATTCATGCCCCGGCCTCTCCGTGGACCCCTCCCCTTTGGTCGTCAAGGAGAGTTTTATTAAGTAGGTTTCGGGGTAAATTTTTTGAAGGCATATTGCATTTTAAATAAGACACTACCTAAAGATTTTGCCCTCATTTTGTGAGGACTTTATGATACGAGTTTTAGTTTCCTATAGGTGCAAGTTCCTATAGTTAATTACCCCTCCCAATAATGAGAGAGAACTTTCGATTAAGGCTAGTTGTCAAATAGATACATGGTATATGGTGTATTATAGCAATATGATTTAGCTATTTGAGAATTTAATATTTAAAATTAGAAATTTTACCACCTTGTACTTAAAGTAGATGGTGGGAGGATGATGATGAGCCCGATCAAGATCACATGGTTCTGTTGTCTCGACTATCGTGGTCCCTAGTCTAATTAGTTAGAGGAGGTGATCGACCAAACCTCACAAAGGACCCTTATTGGTAGCCATGAGTTGTTTTGTCCAAGGGTACCTTATAAACATGGGGTGAATATTTGTTTAAGTGAATAAATTTGAATCCAACTTAGCTAAAGAGGAATTTTTGCCCTATCAGTTATATTTTATTGATTCATTGCTTAATTATTTAATGTTGTTGGGGAATATATGAGTTCTGACCATAACCATTATATAATGGTGCTATTTGGCGGCAAAACCACCCGGTTCAGCAGGTCTTAGTCATAATCATTTACTTATGGTGCCATTTGAAGGCTAAACCATTAGTGTGGTGTCATTTGGCAGTGAAACCAACGGTTAGAGGACACGTATCATGTCCTTAATAGCAAGAACTGGATTGAGAATGAATCATAGTGATGTTATCAACTAGACTTTAGCTCTTTGTAAGCTAAAATAATTTTTCAATTTTTCAACCTCAACAAACTATTGCAGACGGTGGATGAGTATTCCTACTTTAAGTATTCTAATAATTTATTTCAATCTTAAATATTGACATCATTGAGTATATTTTATAGGATTTTGAACTTTTATGGATATTTGGGAGTCATTTTTAAATATTTGAGGTCCCCTCTAGTTGATATTTTAAATCAACACAACCATTATTGGAGTTCGACGGTTCGAGGCATCGAGATTTCGGTGTTCCCATTTTAGGGTTTCATTACTCCTCGCTCTGGCACACTAGGGTGGAGCCATGGATGTCACGACCCGACCCGAAACGGGACAGATCCAGCTCGCACCGGGTCGCGACCGGAACGAACAAACTGACTGACCTGGATCTAGCTTTGGAATTGGCTTCTGAACT